TATTTGCATAAAAAAGAAAAAATAAAAATTAATTCCCCCCCCCCCCCCCCCCCCCCCTCGTCCGGGTGAAGCGATTGTGCCTGTGACAGGACCGGTGTCCGGGGAGCAGTGCCGTGATTTGTCAAAATGTTGTTGGTCGCTCTTTTCCCCCGTCAGATGTTTCTTTTTTGGCTAGCTTTTGATGCTGCTCTTGTTGCGATCATAATAGCGTTTTCGCGTGTGCCGCCACCGCGGCGCAGCCTCTTTTGTAATTACGGTGTTCATCTGCATGTCTATTATACCGTCTTGTAGTAACATCTCTTTGACGCGATATCTTTATGCCACTCGCTCGTGCTTTGAAAAGTAAGACCCGCGCGTGTGTGGGATATAGTCTTTTTTTGGATTTGGTCTTTGCATGTTTTAAGGCAAGAAAATAGTTCCGTTCTATGCATACGGCGGCCCGTGATATGCATCCATACCGGCCCCCTGATTTGGTCTCTCGTTGCTATGAGGCTTGTGTGGATGCGCGCTATATGTCGCAACAAACGCCGTTTTGCTTTTGTAGAAAAGGGCACACGTTTTTTCGTCCATCATCTAGTCCAGTAAACGGTTTCGCCGGCTCCGTGCTGGTTGTGGTGGGCGATTTGGTTAAGCCGCGCGAAAGAGTACCCCCCCCTCCCCCCCCCCCCTTGTTCGCGAGGAAGTGTAATGCCGTCGTGTCCTAACATGACATGCGAACCAGGAGAGGCGATAGTCTAGGAACGCTGAAACTTTTCGGGTTGTTGTGGAAGTGGGGGGGGGGGAGTCGGGAGGGCTGGTAGTAGAAAATACAAAAAATGGACACACATGACAGCTGCTTACGATTTATTTAGTTATTTCTGTGTTTTTGCGAGAGAACGGAAATGGTGTGTAGGTTTAAACGCTCGTTTGTTTGAACGCCCAACCGCTGTGGATGGTGTAATCTAGAAGTCCAAAAGTTATCTTGATGCTTTTTTTTTCTGGAAGATGGGGCGGAGATAGGCCATTGCACTAGCAAGCAAGGGGCAGCAGTGAACCGCCAGGTACATTTGGAGAGAAAGGAAGAGAAAAGCGACATGTGGGTGGCGACCGAATCCTCCCAAGTTGACAATGATGGCAAGGTGCTGCCTTGGATGGAACGGCTCTTTGGCTGGACAGTTACTATTGGAGATGCAGCAGGTGTAGAGTCTTGGCGGCAGCAGCAGCAGCAGCAAGGGTTGTGGCTGTTCCAGGCCTGAGGGGTGGTGTGTCGGGCGAGGGAGAGGTCGATGTATTTCTATGTGGTGTGTTTGAGAGAGAGAGGGGGAGGAACAAACAAGGCCGAGATGGCTAAAGGGTGTGTAGTAAAAGTTGTCGCTAGTGCCTACTCCGGACAGCCTACTTGGTCGCCGCACTGTTGATTGTTCTATACCTTGAAGGTGGTAATAATAGCTCCCCCCCGCACCTCCCCGACTTCGACGAACATGCCTTCTTGACCAAGTCACGAAACCTAGTAAGCTGTGTAATCTAACCCTAGTATAGCGCTCCCATTATTGTGGGGACGGATTGTTTGTTGGATGGGAGGGAGGTTGGACTGGGGGCTAGGGACCGGGAGGGAAACATGTACATTTTGTGTGTTGGGTGCGTCATGTGCCATCGGGCGTTCACCTGGAGATACCCTTCCTAGAGCGCGCGTGCGTTTTGTTGTGCTTGCGCTCGGGCTCGCACGCTCGACGAGAGTGGGTGCGGCTTGCGGGAAAAGGAATTGGGAGGTGGTGGGGCAAACAGAAATTTACCAAGTATTTAAGTTTCTCACTCGCTCGTACCCTGATCTAAATACCGACTATAGTCGCGCTTTTGTTTGGGAGGGGGCGGAGGGGGGCATTGCACACAATATGAGCGACGGCTGTGGTAGACACAAACCACCCAGGCATTTAACGGCAAGCTATAGTGCACCTCGCGTGTTTTAGAGGGAAATTAAGTGGGGCTGCTGTATTTTAGAAGGACATGACAAAGTATTAAAACGATGATGATGCGGCACGCGCAACGAGTTTGTCGTCGTTTTCGCATGGCCATCACGATGATGATCGGATGATGATCGATCATCATCCACCCCGATTGGTTTTTGTTTTTGGTCGCAAAGGCCGACAGTCAGCGAGAGCTAAAAGACAGCAAGGAGGGAATTGTGCGTGCAAACGAGCAAGACTCGGAGAGAACGTGTGATGATTGGCTTTTGTCGTCGGGCCTTTTTCCATCTCTTGTATGATCGGTTTGGAGATGATAGTATTTTGGTACTACTGCGCTTCTTTCTTGTAAGGGGGGTTCCGTAGTGCCGGCTGGGCTAGTGCCGGGTACCCTCAGCGGT